TTTTCCCAATCGCCATCAGCTGCCCCATTGTATTTTCCTGAATCTCACTGATGATCTGAAATCTCTTCCTTTTCAAAGGTGATTTTAGTTTTGGGAAAAGCCAAAAGTCGCAGGGCACCAAATCTGGATTGTAGGGGGTACTGAGTCACCTGGATTATTTGATGTTTCACAAAAAAATCTCTGCACAAGACATGATTCATGAGCAGGTGCATTGTCGTGATGATGAAGCTGCCAATCACCAGTTACCCATAGCTGCAGCCTTCTGAATCATCCGAATAGTTTCCACAAAGAAATGTTCCAGCTTAACACAAAATCTGATGCAGATTCATTGCTCTACTTGCTCAGGCGTTTTGAATGTGGTGGCGACACAGTACACATGCTCACTCAGTAGAGTCTACCACCCTCAGTGACTAGTACAGTGAAGTCGTTATAATTCACACATTTGCGTTCCACTCCACTCTCCTTGACTGCCAGGTACATTGATGTTGTGCAAACCATTCTCGTTATATTAACAGTGGCCAGACTTTTTCCAGACAGACCTGTATAGCAGCTACCCAGACTCTTTATGGTAATAAGGATAGATTAATCATGCAAATATATTCATATACTAGCCTAATCACTGGAATGAGGAGCCCCAAATGACCAGGTGATAGTCGTATTCTGTGGAACTATTTTACTTTGTACTCTGGTGGAGGTGTTCTCCCTCCTTGGATCCATAACCTCTAATCCAGCAGAGTTTAAGCTTTCAGGAACAGAAAGCATAAACTTTGAAAATGGGCTACTAGGAGTAATGATGAAAGGAGATGATTGTACATCCACAGTTTGGTTCCTGAAGGGACATAACACCATATGTCAGCCATTGATAGAGCACGTATCTCATTTTTCTCCAACCTGGAACTTTAGCTGCGATGCCAACAGGCTACTCCACCTTGTATTAAGTCATCAGCTTCCGGGTAATGAGATATACTGTAGTCCCAGTGGCTCCTCCAGTCATGCACACATTGTTGCACCACCTTTGCCATAAATTAATCCCTTGAGCAAAGGCAATGTGCAGGGAAAGCCATGCCAATGGATACGGCATTCCATAAGCCCTCGGTTAGTGGTGCTGGTGGAGACTCTGCTGGCAGAGAATGCAAATTCATTGCCATAGTGGGTTTTAATTCCAGTAAGGATGAATGGCTGCCATTTCCATGGTGGCAGGGCCACAGACTCACTGCACCCTCTGTGAGACGTTCTTATGCTAAAACTTTAATTTTTACCTGGCCTCCATATGCCCCTACTCTAACTGGAAAACCATAACAGCATTTCTAGTCTCCTGGCATTAGTGTCGGCTCATATCCTTAATCCAACAGTCCTTGAAAAGTCTAAGTATCCTTCTTTCCAATTTTTGACTGGCTTTCACATGCCCCCTTCTAACTAGAGGACCATGGTGGGTTTCTGGTCCTCATACCCCTTATCCAAAATTCCCCAAAAGTCTAACTATTCTTCTTTCTTATATGTAGTGTTACTCTGGTAAATGGCCATAGGGCTCTTTGTGGAAGGGTAGGGAGAGTTTTTATAATTATTTTTGTGATATAGAGGATCCTTCTTCAAGGGCACTCAGCTTCCCTTTTAACCAGAGAGATCTAGATCTGTGAAGTTGTATAAATTTAAAAGACCTGGATTTTCCATTGTGATCGCTGATGCTAACACTCTCCTCTCAAGATCTCTCTCTCTCTTTCTTTTTGTAACACACGAACAAGTATTATCACCCAGTCAGTTGTACATTTGTCTCTTCTCTCAAAACACTGTGATTTATTAGCCCTTCCCACAGATTCCTGTGAGTCAAGCAACCTGATTGCTAGGACAGACTTCTGCTCATGTCAGTAATTACAACCATCTTGCCTTTGATAAAGTATTTTTGTAGGATTCTGCCATTCAGAAATCCCCTAATCCCACTGATACTAGGGAGACTTGTTCCATAGCAACATGTCCTGTTAGTAACTCTGACCTGTGGAGGACAGATGTCACCAAATTTGTTCAGAAAAGTTGATGTCCCTCTCACCAGCGAATTCCTCATTGCCTTACTGAAGGGAATGCCATATGAGTCCTCCCAGGGAACAAAGTCAGGTGCTAAGTAGGTATCAGGTAACAAATCCCATCTAACATCCCCATCTCTGTGAGCCTCCAGACATCTTCCTTTATACTATGCCAAAGCGATTTCAGTATCTCTGTCTCATTTTCCCACTGGCCATTGTCACATCCAGCCTTCAAGGAAACATCCCAGCAGCATATTAAGACTAACTCCAGGAGTTCTTGCTAAGAAATTGAACACCGAGTCACAAGTGAATGTTCCCATGTTAGTAAATTCTTCCCTATGCAGGCTTGTTTCATTCCCCCTTCTAGTTCAACACCTATACCTACATGGTTTCCCCTGCTTCCTTTTAGTATACAATGTGGGACCAACAATTACTGTAAATCATTACTTCCTGTAGCAAGGATTATGTTTCCCTGCTCAGGTGTCTGAGCTCCGATCCTGGTTACTGCCATGGAGATGATGAGTAGTGGCAGGGCTGGGCCCTGAATGACAAGCAACCTCTTGTGAGTTGCCTGCTTTATATGGGGTCTCTAAATCTTTGTAGGGTCTCCAGGCAATAGGGATGCTCTCTTTTAGCAAGGAGAATGAGACTGCTTTTGCCAGTGTGGAGCGTTCAGGGAAATCTAAGAGTGATTCCCACTCGTCTGCCCAAATGTCCATATTTCAGGTTTCAGGATGACATTGCTTTCTATCAGGACCCTAACTCAGTATGCCCAAAGAGGCTGTGTCTTCAGTCTCCTCTGCAGCTATGTTCTCCTGATAACTTGATCCTGGGCCTGATTTTCACCACAGACTCTTCCGCAGGTGCAGAAAATGATCTCATATAACAGTAAGTATGTAAGTCAACCCTTCACCTTCCACCTGTACCTCTGCCCAACCAACTTCACATAAGAATCTTAGTAGCTGATGTCACTGGTTATCAACACCACACACCCCACTGTCAGTGTGTCTCCACTGCCATCTGACTGGTGGCGTACCCAGTTCCCAAATCCTATCCTAATGGTCAGCTTTCTAGGGCTAATCCTGACACTCGCTATCTTTCCCACAGTTCCCCTAAAAACAGAACATGAGACATACATCTACACAAGACCAATGTATTTGAGAATGTATTGCCAAGTAGCGGAAGTGACAAACAGGAAAATAACATAGAGAAGTACGGAAAGTCAACACAAGAATGTATAATCAAGTTGGCTGTGAACTGGTTCTGGACCACACAGGGCATTCTGAGAAGCCTTATGAAATTTGTATAAATACTGTCCATCCTGAGGTTGAAGAGGGGAACCATTTATTCATCACCCTCAACTCCCTTTGTTTAATGATGGGCCCAGGATGGTTAGACCCCACACTTCCACTTTGTAAGTGTTGAGTGCTGAGTGGATTCCCTAAAGCACAGGTGGCAAACACAAAGCCCAAGAGCAGAATCAGCCCTCCACCTTGTTTTACCTGGCCCGGCATCTTGTTTCCACCCAGCAACATCGAGTTCTCACTTAATTGTTAAAGAGTAGTTACATTTATACAGTCCCAAAATTACATTTGGCCCTTGGAAGACCACCACGTGGCTGATGGGGCCCCAGATGAAAATGAGTTTGACACCCCTGCCCTAAAGGATCAGAGAAGTCTCAGGGATCAGAAAGTAAGAGGTGTACATCACAGGCTCACAGTCCACTTACATCTGTGTGAAGCCAGTCAGAGCCTAAGTGGACATGGTTCTGAGGAGCTACGGCTGGACTAAAAGATGAGACCAAGAAGATCTGAGGCCACTGCATAATATAAATTAATGTGAAGGAGGCATGATTTTCAAGAAGCTCACTAGAAGGGATGGGTGGGAGAGCAATGTAATGGGGCCATAGAATTGGCACCTATCATTATCTTCACCTGCACCAAACAAATTACAAATGGAATTGAAATGATTTGTAGATTGCAATTAAACAAAACAATGCAGGTGAAGCTCCTATCAACTTAAGCATGCAATAAATAGTAGCTTCAGAAAATCTGTGTCGTTCAAATTTTTGTCATATGGCACACCTCCTGCTATGTATACATTTGTATCACAATAAACACATGCTGAATTAAAAATTGAGGCTTAAGATAATGAGGTCCTTAAGCTACATCTGCCAGAAGCAACTCTTCCAACTGTCGTGGATTTTACTTTCACTACCCTAAATGCTGTCCTCTGAAATTCCAAACTGTTGGGGTTTTTTCTTCCCCACAGAAAGAACAAAAATAAAATAAAATTCCAAGAAAGTAATTATAAGATGCCGCTATAGAATGAGAGGAAAGGAGGAAGTGTAGTAGGTTGTAGTATATATGGTGTTTTCAATTTTCTGCCCACTAGATGGTAGAACAGAATCCCTATTCTGACGAGTTCTTTCTCACAGGTGTCTCTCTTACAACGCCCACACAGAACTTCACATGTAGAAGAAATCCAAATAAATGTTTTCAAAGCTTGCGTTTGAAATGCAGAAAGATGAAACAACAAGGGTGGGGAAGGTATGAAAGAGGAGGTGAGAAGCGCGGAAATACGGGAACTAGGGGAGCTAAACTACGTTTCCCAGAAAGCCACGGGCTACGCCTACAACACCCATCACGCACAGTTCTACTCCCTCCACTGGTTGCCGTTTCCAGGTCTCCCTGAAGCGCAGAGGAAGCTGCCGTGTCTCTATTGCTGCAGCAGCGACGTTTCCTACCACTAACTAAAGTATCCCAAGCGGAGGTTATTTCAACTTTCACTCTTTAAGGCCAAAAGACTCTTAACGGCAGTCCAGGAGGCCCACGAACCACGTGACTGGACCCGGTCAGGTGACCCCCGAGCTTGGCGGCTTCTGTCTGTTACCCTGACAACTGCTCCCCCCCAACCCCCCAGCCGATCTTCCGGCAAAGCGGGGAATTCGGAGGTGAAGGTAGGTGAGGCATGGACACTTACTTCCCACTCGGTTCCCTGTGGTCGAGAGTGTTCTCAGAGCTTTAGTTTCAGGTCACTCACCACCGACGCCCGGACTCCAATTGCGAGCGCGTCGTTGTCTTCCCGCCTGCTCGATGGAGCTCGAGCTTCCTGGAGCCGGGACCTTGCCTTTGGGTATCATCCGCCTTTGCAAGAATTTGGGTCCAGGATCTTAATCGCACATATCTTAAACTGATGAGAAATGCTGATGAGGGTGAGGAGGTGTTCCTTCGCCGGTAGGGCGAAGTGTTGCTCAGGTCTCCACGTCCCCTCCCTCCCTTCTCCCCCACCTCCGAGAAAGGAAGCTGCGGTGTGAGGCAGACCCGAAGTTGAGTTTGTTGGCGGGGCAGAGAGCTTTTCGTTGCAAGTCACATTGAGCGTTTTTGTTGACTTCCCCTCGCTCCAAATGAAACATAACGGATTTTGATTGATTTGTGTGCTCCATTAATTTTGTTTTAGGTAGATTTTGAGTCAATTCCTCTTGATTCCATTTGTGTTTGGAAACATTCCCATTTTTAAAAAGTCTGGTTTGCAAAGCTGTTACTATGAATTGGTATACTAGTTGAATGATAAGGCAGCTCAAACTGTCCAGTGCTTTGCAAAACAGAAACGGTATTTTGGATTTGCAAATTTGTAATTTTTAAAAGATTCCTTAAGAGGACCTGGTTTGTTTAAGGGATGTTAAATTGTAACACACACAAATATGTGTAGTGTGGAGGCCACCCTTTAACAATTGGAGGTTAACAATAAAAATGTATTTCGGGACCCTAAGTACAAGGCAAACTGATTTTGAAGGCTGCTTTTCCAAAGCAGTTTTATTTTTATGAACAAATTGGGAATCTTTTGTCCAGCTTACTTATGCACACATAAGTGTGCATGTATAGTAAATTCTAAGAGAAATGTCTGAGGTTTAAGTCTGGTAGTTTTCATGATGTGAGATAACTTTCCTCAAAAGATGTTTATTGCTTCTTATTTAGTGTTTCCAATGTTGTAAATATTGTGGAACATTTACTTTGGGAAGTGAAACTTATTGATTATGGCTCACTATTCCAAAGAAGAACTGGATAAAGAGTTTGAACAGTTCATGAAAGAGGTAAGTTTGGAAGTTTTTTAAAGATTTTATTTATCTTTAGAGAGGAAGGGAAATATCAATGTATGGTTGCCTCTGGTCCATCCCCTGCTGGGTACTGGCCCACAACCCAGGCATGTGCCCTGACTGGGAATTGAACTGTGATCCCTCAGTTCACAGGCCTGCACTCAATCCACTGAGCTACAACAGCCAGGGCGTAAGTTTGTGTTTTTAAAAGCTATGTTATAAATTTGTCTGATAAGAAACTCGTCCTTCAATTTTCTCTTTCACCTCTAAGACAGTCCATCGTCTTCTAGTTCCCCTCCCTCTCACCGCCACAGTCCTAGTCCCGGACACCAGCAGCTCAGCTCCACTGCTGCATCAGTGCCCGGGTGCTGCCCTGGCATCGCTTCCCCAGTCTGTGTCCTGCGTAATCTGTCCCATAACTCACACTCTTCCTCCTTTACGTACAGCATACTCTGTTGGTTTCCTGTCATATAGAATAAAAGCCCAAACTCCTCCTTCCCATGGTTTACAAAGCCCTGGATGATTTTGTTCATGCCTGCCTCACTTCCCCATTACGCACTGGAAAATCTCACCTTACATATCACTACCTCCCCAGACATGCCAAGCTCAGTTCACATTGGGAGCTTTGTGCTAGCTGTTCCCCTGTTCTTCACCTGGCTAGTGAAAATCTCACCTTAAATATCACTACCTCAGAGAGGGGTTTTTCTGTTTATCCAGTAAAAGAGTACCACCAAGTCACTTGTTAATATACCATGTATTTAATTTTTTATATAACTCTTAGCATTCATTATTTTACTTGTATAGGTCTGTTACATGACGGTTATATGTTCATTGCTATACCTGCAGAACCTAACGGGTGCTTAATGAATGATTGCCGAATGTACAAATTAAAGGTTACAACACATCCTATGTATTTATATACATGGACAGTCAGGCCTTGTAGAGCAATCAGAAGAGTCACATTTAAATTATTATGCTCACATTCTTGTTCCTAAAGGGAGTTTGATGTATGATGTAGTAGAAAGAACCTCACTTTCATTTCTAATAGGTAAAATGATGTCTACTCTGTAGGATTGTTGTGAGGATTTAAAAAAGCATTTGCCAGCTTCCAGGATGTAGTAGATACTCAGGGTATGAGTCTCACTTCCCATTTGAAAAAAATTTATATCAAATATGGGCACATTTTGAAAATTAAATTTATGGGAAGTATTTTTATTGTAAAAAATAAAAACCAGTACAAGTAATTTTTTTCTTCGACCCCTCACCACCCCTGCAGCGTTCTCCTTCTCCTTCCATCCTCTCTCCGTCCCTCCCTCCCTCCGTCTTTCATTCCGCCTCAACTGATAAAAGCTCATATGTTACATTAGAGAGTTGGGTGAGATAGGGTCTCATTATTACCAATGAAAAACACAATTTTAGAGTCATGCTAAAATCATTTTGGTAAATTATTCAAATAGTTTATTCAGAGATATATGTTTACATATATATGTTCTTAAGGAGATTGGTGATAACAGATTTTTTATATATAATTTTATTGAGATATCCCATACATTACTGTTCACCTACGTAAAGCACGTGATTCAGTGGTTTTTAGTATATTCATAGAGTTATGCATCCATCACCACTGTCACTTTTAGACTGTTTCATTACCCCCAAAAGAAACCTATTAGCAGTTACCCCCTTTCCCAGCCTCAGGCACCTTTCATCTACTTGCTATCTCTGAAGGTGTGCCTATTATAAACATTTCAGAGAAATGGAATCATACATACATGGTCTTTTGTGTTTGGCTTTTTCCACTTAACATAATGTTTCGAGGTAGGTTCATGTTGTATCATGTTTCAGTACTTCATTCCTTTTTATAACTGAATAATATTCCATTGTATGAATTCACTACATTTGTTTACCCACTTAATCAGTTGATAGACATATGAGTTCTATTTCACTTTTTAGCAATTAGGATTAATGGTGGTATGAACAGTCACGCACATGTCTTTGTGTGGATGTACGTTTTCATCTCCCTCGTGTATATGTCTAGTATGGAAATGCTGGGTCCAGTGGTGGCTGTTTAACCTTTTGAGGAACCTCCAGACTGTTTTCTAAGTGCTGTGCATTTTACATTCCCATCAGCAGTGTATGAGTGTATTAGGGGTACAATTTCTTCATATCCTTGCCAGCACTGTTATTATCTAGGGACCAGCTGTCTTCTTCTTCTTTGTTGTTGTTTGTTTTTTTGTTTTTTTGTTTTCAATGATAGTAATCTGGAACACTGCAGTAGTGTCAAAAGTGGTTATATACCTACTATGTGTTAAATAGTAAGGTGAGAGGTCTCCATTTTTTTCCCTGATTTTTGCCACAGCCCTGCAAGGTCAGTGCTACTATGGCTATTTTTAACAGGTGAATAAAGTAAAAAGAGAGGTAATATCACTAAACAACAGAGCTGGCATATTTTGAAGTTGAAATTCAAACTCAGATTTGTGAGGTGCCCAAACCTATACTCTCTCCACACTCTTATGTGACCATAGGGTTTAGGAAGAGTAGGTTGAGTCTGGGGCAGGTTCTCAGAACTTGGTACGTGGTGAGGTGTGGGGAGGAGAGAGAATTGGAACATTGCAAGGTGATAGTAAGTTTAGATACTGAGTGGAACGTGATGTGCTAAAATTCAGGTGGGATAAAGAACATTTTCTTCCCTGTACTCTCTTCCTGCCTGCTTCTCAGGAAGGACAGTGGGTTCCTTTTGAACATCTTAGAAATGACATTCTCACAAATCACTGATGTAAAGTTGCGTGGCTGGCAGATGGAAATATGTGTTGTCATCTTGGGAGTTTAAAAGGTCACTCTGGTAGCAATGTCCCTGTTGGGGGGACTACACAGTGTGCTGGAATGCAGACAGGCTTTAGTCACAGAAATCGCAGTTTGGCTCCCAGCTCTATAGCACTAACAGTAGCAACTTGGGCGAGTTCTATCACCTCTTTGAGCTCTTTCTCTATCCGTAAACTCTCCTTGATTACTTAAAGAATGCGGTAACCTGAGAATAGTTCCCAAAATAGATCAGGTGTGGGGGGAGAATGTTGGTCACTTCTCCAGAAAGCGTGTGTAGAATGAGGATAAAAAGGACAAAGAGCTGAGCTATGTGGAAGTTGAGTGTTAAAGAAATAGACAAAATTGCCAAGAGCTGTTAAAATAGATGAGTGGGGAAGGTCACCAGGCTTTTGCCAACTAACCACCAAGTTTTTCAGCAAACTTAGAGGAACTGGTGCTGTGGCATTAAAAGTACAGAGTTTCAAGAAATTGAAGAGTTGGTCACCAGTATCAAGTTATATGATGTGATCAGGGAAGATGACTGACAGTGGTCCTTTTTCAGTGGCATTTGGGAGGCCTTTGGTGCCCTGGAGGGGAACTCTTTTGCATGAGAACCAGATTTTAAGGGATTGAGCATTGAACTCAAGAAGTTGATGTATAGCCCTAGTCAGTGGCTTGGTTGGTTGAAGTGTTACCCAGTGCACCAAAGGGTTGTGGGTTTGATCCTGGGTCAGGATATATATAGGAGGCAATGGGTCCATGTTTCTCTCTCACATCCAAGTTTCTCTCTCTCTCTTTTCTTTCTGAAAACCAATAAACATCCTTAGGTAAGGATTTTTTTTAAAGTTGTATACCAACTTTTAAAAAAGGAGAAATGATACTTTGAGTAAAAGGGGATAGGAATATGGACCTTTTTCTGTTTATTTTCCTTTGTTGTTGTTGTTTAAGTAGGGTAGACTTGAGTATTCTTTCTTCTGGTCTACATTTGTACCAGGTGTTATTTCAGGTCCTGGGGATGCAGTGATGAACAGCTGTATAATCCCAAGGAAGGGTGGAGAGGAGGGATTGAAGAGCAGAGATAAAATGGGATAACCAAGGAAGTAAGAACCTGGAGAGATGGGAAATAACCCCTCCACAGGTTCTCCTTGAAGTAGAAGAAAAGAATTTCTCTTCT